ACTTGACTGCTAACCAGAAGGCTGGTGGTTCAAACCCATCAGCCACTCCTCAGAAGGAAGATGAGGGAATCTACTTCCATAGCGATACTGCCTCGGAAACCCAAGGAGGGGTTGCTATGAGTTGGGTCTGACTTGACAGCACATAACAACAACAACAACGTAGTCATTAGACAAGGCAACTCAAACCATGCATGCTGATATTGCCTCTGGTTTCTTGGTAAGACTTAGCAAAGGTAAAAGTAAATTTAAGTGTATTTTGAAAACACACATTTGGTGAAGTATGACATACTAGGTCCAGTGGATTTGGCAATAAATAGGACTGATACTACCTCTACCATCGTGTGTCTTGCATTTTAGCAGGGTGACGAACAAATAACACATAATTCCCTACAGCCAGCTGACAGTGACATGCACAAAGGAGGGTGGAGCATATTTTGTGAGCAGTATTAAAGGGTGTTATGTTGTCCTCCATCTCTGATCTATTCAGTCCTTCCACAAATATTTATTGGGCTCCTATAGGATGTGAGGCTCTTTTCTAGGCCTGAGAAATTAGCTGTAAACAAAATGCACAAAGGCCTTGGCTTCATGGAATTTATATCTTATGGTTGGTGATTGGTAAAAGGCTTAAAAAAAAGGAAATATATAATGTCATGTCATTAGGATCCCTAAGTGGTGCAAGTGGTTTGCACTCAACTACTAATCTTAAAGTTGGCAGTTCAAACTAAACCAGTGGTGCCATGGAAGAAAGACTTGGTAATCTGCTTCTGTAAACATCATAACCAAGAATACCTTATGGAACTGTTCTACTCTGTCACACATGAGGTTGCCATAAGATGGAGTCTCCTCAATGGCAGTGGATATTAGTCACTAATGAGAGCAGAGAAATAAAATAAAATCCTCTGACATGATGAGAAGTGAAGAGTTATTGATGAGTGAAGAATTGTGGATAAATAGACCTCTCTGAGGAGGTGATATTTGAGAAGACACCTGAATGCAGTCAGGGAGCAAGATTGATAAATATTCAGAGCATTTGAAACAGGGAAAAGAACAAAGCAAAGACCTTGAGGTAAGAATAAGTCTTTGCTTCTTCAAGAGACAGTAAGAAACATACTCCTGGAGAAAAATGACTGGGAAGGAAGGAATAAATAAGGATTAAAATACAGATGGTGAAGGCCATGGTGAATAGGTTAGATTTTATTTCCAGTATGATGGGAAGATACTGAAGATATTGAGCAAAGAACAACTTATAACATATAACTCGAAATAATGTTGTGAAAATGTCCTCTGGTTACTGAGTGGAGAATTGAGTGTATGTGTGTGTTTGCATGTGGATACTGTGGAAACAAGGATACCATTTAGAAGGCTGAGATATAATCTAGGGGAGAGGTGTTAAGGGTGGAGTTGGTGAGTAGTCGTGAGATTCAGAATTCATTTTGTTCTAACAGAACTTGCTAAAATATTGTAAGTGAGGTAAGAGTAGAAAAGAGATAAAATTATTCTCAGGATTTTAGCTTGAGAAACTAGGTGGCTGGTAATATATTAGTGAGTGGAAGAGTAGGGAGTAGGAAGCAGTTAGGGAATAGAAAACCAAGAATTTACATTTCTTGTTAACTGCTGTTGAGTTGGCCCCCTCATCATGATAACCCTTATAAAGCAGTTACAGAGTAGTTACAAAGGTTTTTATTTTATTTTTTAAAATTCTTTTATTGTTATTTGGATGCAAATTTACAAAGCAGGTTCATTTTACACTTAACAGTTCATACATATTTTGTTTCATAGCACCAATTACAATCCCTACAATAAACAGCTCTCCTATCTCCTCCCTTTGACTACTCCTTTCCATGTGTCCTTCTTACCTATGCATTCCTGTTTGTCTAGTTTTTCCCCCATGCAAATGCTGCCCCTCTGATCTGTCATAGTTGACTGTTCTGAGTGCATCTCCCTGGAGTAGGTGTTTCACTTTCTATTATTTAGCTGAGTGCTAACCCACGGTAAAAACAAACAAACAGCAACAACAAGGAAAAAACCAAACCAAACTCACTGTCATTGAGTTGATTCCTGACAGTGATCCCCTTTGGGTTTCTGAGGCAGTAAATCTTTGTGGAAGTTGATTGCCCAAACTTCCTTCTGTGGAGTGGTTTGAACCCATGGTAGTGAGTCTAATCCCAGGCCATCAGGGTAACCTTGGGGGCCTGGAATTAGATTGAGGGTCTTACTGGTCTATCTGACCAGGATTTCTGGTGATATAGCGGGTAAGCCATGTGGCTTCTAATCAGAAGGTCGGTGGTTCAAACCCACCAGCTGCTCTGTGGGAAAGAATTATAGCCTTGGAAACTCAATGGGGGTAGCTATGAGTCAGAATCTATTAGATGGCACTGGGTGGTTTTTGATTATCTGACCAGTAATTGTGGTCATTTTTTGTGTTTTTAAATTTTGTTCTACATTTTTCCTCCCACTCTATCCAGGATCTCCAATTTTGATCCCTTTCCCAGTGGTAGACATTGGAAGGTGGGCATTGGAAGGTTCTTCTGGTCTCTGGGCTATGAAGGCTGAGGTTCCTGTGGTTCATTAGTCCCTTGGACTAATTGTTCCCATATGTCTTTAATTTTTTCACTTTTCTTTGGATGAGGAGTGACCAATAGTTGCATCTTAGATGGCTGCTCAAAAGCTTTTAAGATTCTGGTTACTACTCACCCAAGTAGGATGTAGAACAATATTTTTATGTACTGTGTTGTTCTAAGTGAGCTTGATGCTCCCCATGACCATGTTCCTGGGCCTGCAAGCCTGGTGACTCACTCCCTCAAAGTGCTTGGTTGTGGCTAAGAAGCTACCTCAATCTTGTCCCCTGTTAGTTCTATAATGTATATGAATATCTTTGCAGCACAAATATGCATGTAGGAGCATCATTAGACAAATCTATCTATGGTAATGGGTATATTCCTGTTCTCCTACCCACACCTGATCTTCTCCATGTGTGCCTATGTATCCATGTGTAGACTAGTGTTTGCTGTTAATGATAATGCAGTATTGTATATGCAATAGTATTTGCCTCTGTTTTCTATATCTTTTCTGCACCTATCTGTATCCTCTTTTTCCCTATTGGTATTGTGCTGGTCACACACTTTTGTTATATTGCCTTGTCTTTCAGGCAAATCAGCACAAGACTCTTAACTAGTCAGAAATTTTCCTTCACTGTCCCTCTCATCCCTGGTAACCAACAAAGTAATTACCTTTCCTTGACTTTTTAAATAATGGACTCATATATTTGTCCTTCTGTAATTGACTCATTTCACTCAGCATAATATCCTCCAAGTCCATCCAGGTGATGAGGTGTTTCATGGATTCTTCATTGTCATTTAATGTTGTGTTCTGACTTGACAGCACATAACAACAACAACAACAACAAAAGTTATATATATTTGTATTATATAATATTTAAATGTAGATTATTTACAATTTTCTAAGAAGATATTTCCGTTCTCATTTTTAGAATAACAATATTGACATTTCTTTCTAAGGTGGAGGAGCTGGGTTTTAAACTGTGTTGGAACTTGAAATTTGAAAATTTCGCTTTGCAAAGTCCCAGTCCCAGCCTTTCTACCTACTTCCACCTTCCTGAGCTTATGTGTGATGCTAATAATGTTATTAGCATATTATTTTTTCACTCCTGCACTCATTTAGTTAGATGGAAGGATAAAGGAAAGACTGTACCATTAGGGTATACTTTTGTCTTGGAAAAAAAAAAAATCAATATAAAACAATTGAATAAACCAATATATCTCACCTCCCCTACTCCCACAAGATAACATAAACTTGCAGGCCTCTGATTTTAGACACTTTCACAAAGTTTTACCATTTTATTAAGTTTGCATTACAACGTACCTTCCTTTCTCTGTGTAAGCCTTCTGGCAAGATGTTTCACCCCATAAAAATGCAATAAATACAACATAACTTCAATCACCTTGCTTATTCAGCACCACCAACAGGAGGAAAATAATGCAAGTATCGGGGAATTTAAGAGTTCCGATTATTTTCTGAAGATTTTGAGTGTGAAATAAAATATTTGGCTCAAAGTCAAGAAATCTTTAGCTTTTAATATGCTCAGGAAATTTCAACAAGAACTGTATAAAGCTTACACTGCTAAGAATGTATAACATAACCATGGTTACTGAATAAATACATATTTTAGATAAGGAAATTAAATTTTCAGTGTATTAGCTTTCTAAACACCTCTATTGGCCTTCATTGTAGCTGTAATTAAATGAAAACAAAACATAATTGCATTATGATCATAAATAGGCTGTGAAATGAATGGAGTATTGACCCACACAACTGCTCACAACTTGCAGAATATTTTTCTTTCTTTGTAAACCTCAAATATTCTAAAGATTTTGAAACGCACAAGTATCTAAGGTAATACTTCTCAGATGATAAAAAGGCTCAATTATGACTTTCATTTTATCAGCAAATTTTTGACAATGTGAAATCAAGTTATCAATTTTGAGTCCACTTGTAAAAAATCATAAATTTACATTTACTATAGGGGTTTAAATGTTTTGAATTTTTAAAAGCTTTACTCATAGGTGTATTTATATTTATCATCAATCTATCGTAGTAAAAATAATGGGCCACTTAGATTTGCTAGATGGATTACTGAGGTCCTATATTCAAACAGGGAGCTCTGGTAGCATAGTGGCTAAAACACTTGACTGCTAACCAGAAGGTTGGCGGTTCAAACCCACCAGCCACTCCTCGGAAGGAAGGTTGGTCAATCCTACTTCCATAGTGATACTGCCTCAGAAACCCAAGGAGGGGTGGCTATGAGTCCGGGCCGACTCGACGGCACCTAACAACAACAACAACATATTCAAACAATTTGATTAAACAGTGGTTCAAGTTCAGCAGATAAGATTGTTAAGTTTGAAGGAGCTGTCAGTAGGCTTTAAAATGACCCTGCAAAGTTTCAATTACATGTCATTTCTGTATTCCTCCCACCCCAGATGCTGACCCATTAGTCACAGGAGCTCCTGGAGCTCCCATGGATTTGAAATGCCATGACGCGAACCGAGATTATGTCATCGTGACCTGGAAGCCACCAAACACAACCACCGAGAGTCCTGTCATTGGTTATTTTATTGATAGGTGAGTGCACCTTGCACTTTTCCAGGGATAGTCTCTTTTCTGAAATGAATATTATCCTGGAAAATATACTTGGATATTTTTTCAATATACATTCATTTTATCATTTTTGGTTGGATCTAGGGACATAATTATTTTGGTTATTAAGGCATATGAATATTAACCGAAAAGTCATTTGTTCCAACCCAGCAGCCACTCATGGAAGACAGATGAGGCAGTCTACTTCCATAATGATTTACAGTCTTGGAAATCCTATGGGGTAGTTCTACTCTGTCCTAAAGGACCACTATGAGTTGAAATCTACTCACATGGCAGTGGGTTTTTTGTTTGGTTTTGATGAGGTGATTTGATAAATATCATCAGACAGACCTAGCCTAATGTAACCCTAGATTTCTTAAGGTTGTTATTGGAGACATTTTCCCAGTTCAACATCAAGTAACAAATCCTATTCTATTTCTCCAGTCACAGTCTAAATTCTGATTTCCTATCTCTGCTGAGAGGCCTATGCACTGAGGCTGGGAAAGATGCCCCAGGATAGGAAGCGTAATGTTCAGCATTGTTTCTCTCTTCTAAGAAACAGGATGAACACTCTTAAATATGATGTAGTTAAGAGTGGTACTTCATTTATATTCAAGTTTCTATTATTTTCTCTCTTAAGTAATAAAGTTCTCTTCTTATTTTCAAGTATGGAGTTTCAAAGTATAAAATATTGGAATTTACCTTTAAGTCAATAACTTAAATTTAGATCATTATTAAACCCAATGGAGTTTTAAGTTTTCAGTTTTCCTTTATTTCATATAGTGCTCATAGCCTGGGAAGAAAATTGAGCAGAGCCATTGAATTTTTTTGTTAGTTTTAATTTTTACTGTGGTGAAATATGCCAATTCAATAATTTCTGCATGTGTATATCATTGATGTTGATTATATTCTTCTTATATTACATATATATAATATATATATATTCATGGGCAGAATAATCTTCAAATAATTTCAACATTATTAACAAACTCAATGCCTCATAAGCAAAAATTCCCCCAAATGAATTTATTAGCTATGCAATTTATTGTTGAAATATAAATTCCAGCCATTGGAATAAGTACGGTTAAAAATGACTTAGAAATAAGGTGGAAGGGTGTAAGCTCTTGGGTTATAAAAAAAATGGTTACCGGAAGGAATTTAAGTTGAGCTCTGGTGGCCTAATGGTTAAGGCATTTGACTGCTAACCAGAAGGCTGGTGGTTCAAACCCACCAGGCACTCCTTGGAAAGGAGATTGGGCAATCTACTTCAGTAGAGATACTCCTCGGAGACCCAAGGAGAGATCAGTATGAGTTGGACTCGTCTGGACGGCAGTGAGTTTTTTATTTTTATTTTTTGTATATACCAAAAAATCAAACCCTCTGCCATTTAGTCGATGCTGATTCAAAGCGACCCTATAAGACAGAATAGAACTGCCTCGTAGGGTTTCCAAGGCTGTAAATCTTCATAGAAGCAGACTGCCACATCTTTTTCCCTCAGAGTGGTTCGTGGATTTGAACCGCAGATGTTTTGGTTAGCAGCCAAATGCTTAAACTATTGCGGTCAACAGAGCTTCTTACAGGTATATAGAGAGCACGATACAATAAAGTAGCTATTCAGGGAAAAAAAAAAAAAAAATCAATGAGCTCTAGTTTTTTTGGCATTTTGCTGATTAAATTCTATTCTCTGTACCTCAATGAAGCTACTTGTTTAGCCACCAAGGTAATTTTGATATTCTAGAAACAGATTTGCAGTGTGCGTTGTTCGGTATCTACCTTAGATTAAAAAACAAAAACCAAACAAAAACTATTTTCTATCCTCCCGTGACATTTGGTAAGGAACTCTGGTAGCACTGTGCCTACAACATCTGACTGCTAACTAGAAGGTTGGTGGTTCAAACTCACCAGCCACTCCACAGAAACAAGAGTGGGTAATCTATTTCCATAACGATTTACCGCTTTGGAAACCCAAAGGGGGTCATTATGAGTCAGAATTGACTCCACAGCAGTGGTTTTTTTTTTTTTTTGGTGTAATACTTGATAATTTTTCCAACCATGTTGGCAAAAACCATTTCATGTGCCTTCTCGGTTAATCATCCACACTCCTTTCCCCACCTCAATTAAAAAAAAAGACAATAAAAGAGTTTTGGAGTGGGAGGCTGCAGTTTCTTTTCTGTACTCCCTCCTGTCTTACAACTTACAAGTCTTGTTTCATATTGAGTTTTCTTTTTTTTTTTCTCTGCCAGACTTTCAGTTTTGCTTAAAAAAGACTAGCACCTGTAGATCTTAGAACTTTCATTAAAATGTCTGAATAGTTAGGAGGGAAAAAGAGTTAATTCTTCCTAAAATGCACATATAAGTCTGAGGTTAAACATCTCAAAGACTGATTTTATGAACTTGCTATTTTCTCCTGAGCATTTACCATTAAAGTTTTTGTGCTTAGATTTCATAATCTGTGGAAAAAGGAGGTTAATCTTTTCTACATTTCCAGGTTGCTAGTTAGAGCTTAATATTTTCCAAAACCTTTAAAATTCAACACAAGTAATGTTCTAGAAGGAAACATCTTAACATTATTTGAAGTACACTGTGAGCCTGCATTCCAATGACAATTGACACCAGTGGCTCAACAAAGTGAGAAGCATGTTTAGGGACATGGAGCAAAGAGGTGTTTCATTTTCTATGCCTTGGCAATGGGCATGCTAGGGAGCCTAGGGCCATCCTCCTATTTTTTGATTTAAGTTGGGAAGGGAACTACACAATAATAGATTTAAAATCACTTCTGTTGAAGATTTTGTCTAAATGTGTTTGCAATTAGACTTGATCTCCAACTCTAAATTGTAAAGGTTCAGAAGATTTATCTATCTGTCTAGTTATCAGTCTATCTATCTGTGTATATGTATTTATTATTGCTCGTTGTCATCAAGTTGATTTTTGACTCATAGTGACCTCATATGACAGAGTAGAACTCCCCCTTAGGGTTTTTCAATCTATAATCTTTTTTTTTTTTTTTAATTTTATTGTGATTTGTGGGAAAGTTTACAGAGCAAATTCATTTTCCATACAGCACTCCATGCACATTTTGTCTCATGACATTGACTGTAATTTCTCAAAATGTAACAACTCTCTTTCCACTTCCTCCCCATAGTTACCTCTTCCCTGTGTCCTTCCCTCCTGTGCATTCCTGACCCCAGCAGTCTTCCTGTGCATACATTGCCCTTCTGTTCTCTCATGATTGATCTCTCCAAGGAGTGTATCTACCTGATGGAAATGTCCAGCTTGTATGTTGGTCTTTTATTTGTCTGTAAGTCACAGGAGTGAGTTCAATTGCAGAACTGAAGGGCAACTAGGGGCCATAGTCTCTGGGGTTTCACCAGGCTCTATCAGACCAGCAAGCCTGGTCTTTTATTTTTTTTAATAATTTTGAGTTTTGTTTCACATTTTTCTCCCACTCTATCCAGGATATCAGAAACAGATCCCCCTCTGAGGGATTGACAGTTGTAGCTAGGCACCATCTAGTTCTTCTGGTCTCATGGGCATATAGGCTGAGGGTTGCACAGTCTACCAGTCCTTTGGACTAATTGTTTCTGTGTGTCTTTGGTTTTCTTCATTCTTTTTTGCTCTGCATGAGGAGACCCACTGTTGCATCTAGATGGCTGCTTACAAGCTTTTGAAATTCCGGTCGCTACTCACCAAAGCAGCATATGGAACAATGTTTTTGTGTAGCATATTATGCCAATTGAGCTTGATGTCCCCTGGGACCTTGGTCCAGAGTCCACAAGTCCAACTACTCACGCCTTCTGGGTAGCTGACTGTGGCCAAGAAGTCATCACAACCTTGTCCCTTGTCAGCTATACTATATACCTGGACATTCTTACAGAGCTTACAAATATACTTGTAGAAACATCATCTGCCAACCCTACATACATGCACATGGGCACACTGCCCCCTGCCTAGTCATACCTGATCATTTAGCCTATTCACCCATCTATCCACCCGTAGATCAGTGTTTGCCATCACTGACAACGCATTTCAGTCTGTAATCTTTATGGAAGCAGATTGCCAAGGGTGCCAATGGTAGAGCCACTGGGTGGGTTCAATCTGTCCTCATTTCAGTTAGCATCTGAGTGCTTACACATTGTGCCAACTGGCCACGCTCTCTTTCTCTCTGTCTCATTTCCTAAATAGCTCTATACTTAAAGTTGCTTTATGCCACTTCTCGGAAGGAAGGTTGGACAATCCTACTTCCGTTGTGAAACTGCCTTGGAAACCCAAGGAGGGGTCGCTAGGAGTCGGGGCCGACTCGATGGCAAATAACAACAACAACAACATATTACTCTTGTATAAATCAATATTCTAACAGCATAAATTTTACCAGTTTGATGTTTTCCTGATTTGTTATGCATCCATGTATTATTAGATGATAAATTTGTTATTCTGAACTTTTTATTTTATTTGAAGGTGTGAAGTTGGAACTGATAATTGGGTTCAGTGCAATGATGCACCAGTAAAAATCTGCAAATACCCAGTAACTGGACTTTTTGAAGGAAGATCTTACATATTTCGGGTGCGGGCGGTCAATAATGCAGGCATTAGCAGACCTTCTAGGGTCTCTGAAGCTGTGGCTGCTCTTGACCCTGTTGACCTCAAAAGATTACAAGGTAGGTCACTGAAAGTTTAAGTTTAAACTATGACTGGGAAACTTTTGGCTGTTTTATGTGTGATTTGTTCTTTTTCTTTTACTCTCCAACCTTGTATGAGGCTGAGAACGTCTTCAAATGATAAGCATAGCACAGCAATATTTCACTGGTCTCTAATGTCTCCATCAATGTCATTTTAGGAATGGATATAGTTGGGATGACATTTATACTTTAAAACCAATGTGTTTCACCTTCATAATGCTCTTTTCTGAAATCCAGTTAAATTGGTTTGGAATTAGACCCTTAACACATTTTTAGTCCATTGATGATATAATTTCAACACCTAATGAGAGTCAGAAGGCCTTGAAACCAAGTCACTCTATTTCTGAATATTAATTTCACATGACACAGATTTCTTAATGAGATTGGTCCCTTAATTATGATTTTAAATGAGCCACTATATTTTCCTTACTGGATGATCTTTTGAATCCAGTTCCAAAATATCAACTCTGATTACTTCAGAGTAGTGCACGTATTATAATCACAATGCAAATGTGATTAGGACTTTGCAGTTATTTAGAAAAATTAGTGCTTTAGGAAATTTTGGGATATCAAATTTAGCATCAACTTCTCTCTTTGCAGCAATTCATTTGGAGGGAGATAAAGAAATTGTAATGTATCATGATGACCTTGAAGGTAAGTAGCTTTTCACCGTTTGATTTCAATTGCTTATTCCCTAGGGATTTAAGATTATAATTAGAGGCACATGAGACAAAGAAAACACTTTCCTGGTGAGCACACTCTTTACATGTAAAAACAAAAGCTACAAGTCAAGCCTGTAAGCTTAATGTCTAAGAAGTTTTTTTTTTTTTTTTAAAGCAAGGGAAAATAAGAAACAAGTTGTATACTGCATTGCTTTTCTTTAGCATTCACAAATACAATCTTTTGGTTAGTTATATAGAAGAAACCAAACTTAAACTAAGCTTTCAGTATTGGCTACTGTTAGTTTTCACTCCTAACATAGTCCACTGCTGTTTTCGTCATTATTGTTAGGTGCTATAGGGTTGGTTCCGACTCATAGTGATCTGGTGACTAACAGAATAAAACATCGCCAGTCCTGCAGCATACTCTCATTCCTTGCTATATTTGTCAATCGACTTTGTCAATCCATTTCGTTAAATGTCTTCCTCATTTTTACTGACCCTCTACTTCACCAAGTATGATATCCTTCTCCAGAGACAGGTCCATTGTGACAGCATGAGCAAAGTATATGAGATGAAATCTGGCCATTCTCACTTCCATGGAACATTCTGGCTGCACTTCTTCCAGGACAGATTTGTTCATTCGTCTGACAGTCTATTATATTTTCAGTATTCTATGCCAACACTACAATTCAAAGGCATCAGCTTTTCTTTGGTCTTCCTTATTGTCCAGCTTTCACATGGATATGAGGCGACTGAAAATACCATTGCTTTGGTTAGGTGTACCTTAGTCTTCAAAGGGGCATCTTTGCTCCTTTACACTTTAAAGAGATCTTTAGCAGCAGATTTGCATAGTGCAAAATGATGTTTGATTTCTTGACTTCTGCCTCCATGGGTATTGATGGTGGATCCAAGTAAAATAAAATACTTGACAACTTCAATCTTTTCTCCATTTATTGAGATACTGCTTATTAGTCTAGTTGTGAATGTTTTTGTTTTCTTTATGTTGAGGAGTAATCCATACTGAAGATTGTAGTGTTCGATCTTCATCAATAAGTGCTTCAAGTCATCTTCACTTTCAGCAAACAAGGTTGTGTAGTCTGCAAATCACAGATTGTGATGAGTCATCTCCAAATCCTGATGCCTTATTCTTCTTCATATAGTCTAGCTTCTCAGATTATTGCTCAGTTTACAGATAGAATAAGTATGGTGAAAGGATACAACATTGATACATACACTTTCTTATTTTATACCATGCAGTATTTCCTTGCTTTGTTCAAACAGCAGCCTCTTGGTCTATGCACAGTCTCCTCATGAATACAGTTAAGTGTTGTGGAATTTCCATTCTTTGCAATGTTGCCCATAAGTTGTTATAATACACACAGTTGAATGCCTTTGCATAGTCAATAAAACACAGGCAAATATCTTCCTGGTATTCTTTGCTTTCAGCCTAGGTACCCTTGACATTGGCCACAATATCCATCATTTCATCTCTTCTGCATCCAGCTTGAATTTCTGGAAGTTCACTGTCAATATGTTGCTGCAAATGTTTTAGAATTTTCAGAAAAATTTTACTGTGATATTAATGATATTGTTTGATAGTTTCTGCATTCTGTTGAGTCACTTTTTTTTTTTTTTTTGAATGAGCACAAATATAGATCTCTTCCAGTTGGTTGGTCAGGTATCTGTCTTCCAAATTTCTTGGCATGAACAAGTAAATGCCTTCTGCACTGTAACCATTTGTCAAAATATTTCAAAGGATATTCCATCAATTTCTAGAGGCTTTTTTTTTTTTTCTGTCAATTCCTTCAATGTAGCTTAGACTTCTTCCATCAATACCATTAGGTTTAATCATGTTACCTACTGAAATGGTTGAATGGCAACCAATTCTTTTTGGCACAGTGATTCTGTGTATTCCTTTCCTCCTCTTTTGATGCTTCCTTCATTGTTCAATATTTTTCCCACAGTCTTTCAGTATTGCAATTTGAGACTTGAATTTTTCTTCAGTTCTTTCAACTTGAGAAATGCTTAGTGCATTCTTCACTTTTGGTTTTCTAACTCCAGGTTTTTGCACATTTCATTACAATACTTTATTTTGTTTTCTCAAGCCACTCTTTGAAATCTCCTGTTCAACTCTTTTATTTAATCATTTCTTCCATTTGCTTTAGTTACTCTTCATTCAAAAGTAAGTTTCAGAGTATCTTCTGATGTCCATTTTGGACTTTTCTTCCTTTTCTGCCTATGACTTGGAATCTACTTGATGGCAGTGAATCTGTTTTTTTTTCTGGTTAATGAGGCAATAGAAAATACCATGGTTTGGGTCAGGCACTCCATAGTCTTCAAAGTGACATTTGTGCTTTTTAAGCAGATTCGCCCAATGCAATGTCATTTGATGCCTTGACTGCTACTTCCTTCAGCATTCAGTCTGTGTAAAAGTCAAATTTTTGACAGGCCAGAAGAAAAGGAAGTTCTCTTTTTCTCCTCTCTTGAGCATACGGGATCAGTGAGGAGAGACATGATCTGAATTGTCTTGTGTGGGCATGTAGGAATTCAATCTGGTAAAACTGGCCTAAAATAAGAAAATTTATGTTGCTATATAAATGTCACATATCTTTGATAAAATATGCATTATGTAAAGGTCATTGTGAAAAATACTGGGGATATAAAATAATAAAATATAATAAACCTTTCATGGGCAGGAACTATACCTTTTTGGGGAGACAATCTATTTATAAATAGATATAGATGAATGGGGATATAAATACCTACAACAGATATTTATTAAGTACTAAATAAAGAAACCCACCAGCCACTCCTCAGAAGGAAGGTTGGGCAATCTAATTCTGTAGTGATACTGCCTCGGAAACCCAAGGAGGGGTCTCTATGAGTAGGAGCCGACTTGATGGCACATAACAACAAAAGCAAATAAAGGAATGCCATATTTTCAAAGGCTTGATTTTTCAATGGATGAAATGGAGTTAAGTGTACAGACACAAGAATTCTTATTTTCAAATGGAATAAAGTCACAATAACATTTTTTATGTTTATTCCATTTCTTTTTTTTTTATAAGAAGACAGATTTTCTGCCTCTCTGGGCCTGTCCCTTCATTTTTTTGGGTGAATTCTTGAATGCAGTGGCATTTTATTCATACTATGGGAAACATTTTAGAGGCTCGTTTCAAGAAAGGCAGAAAGTTGGACATTTAAATGGAAAATTGTTTGACTTGGGACATTGATACTGTCTGAAGTTCAGACCCTTTGGCCTGCAATTCTCTGATGTGGTGAGGCTTTTCATGCAACTACTAGGCAAATTCTACATCCTGAAACAAACTTGGTATGAAATAAAAATTTAAGTATATTGATATAGTGGTTTGGAAAATTCGTCTGTCATTTTAAATTCATTAATCATTTAGTACCTAAGGCACTTGTCTGCTAACCAGAAGGCTGGCAGTTCAAACCCACCAGCCACTCCTCAGAAGGAAGGTTGGGCAATCCTATTTCTGTAGTGATACTGCCTTGGAAACCAAGGAGGGGTCACTATGAGTCAGGGCCAACTCGAAGGCACACAACAACAACAACAATGAAAAATATCTTTAGAGAGAGAAAGAAATTCTATAATATTTTTCAACAAAACATTTCTGAGTTTAAATATTTGCTTTTAGGAAGTTGTTCCCTGTGTCTACCCACATATCTTATCTTCATCTAAGCTTATTTTCCCTTATAACTTTGTCTTAGATAGAAAAGAATTGGTGCATGATATTTCTTTTATTGAAAGAGAAACACTACTTTTTTTTGGCTAAAAATTACTTTTCCGATATTTTAGGCTTTTTGGTAAGTTTTTCTGATTATGTCAATCTTGGTTAGTGTCTTTTTTTCAAACATTTTAATTTTTATTAATATCCACCTCTTAAGATCATCCAAATTTTTCCAATCTTTCTTGAGTTGCTCCATTGGAAAATGGATACTGTATTCTTAAAAATGCCAGAATAGCTTCTTGAAAAAATAGAATGAAATTACTTTTATGTTGTTAATTATATATCTAAGTATTCAAAACACTGTCTTGGACAAGGTCATTTGTAGCTAACATGTTCAATTAATCATTTACTCTGAATTCTGCAGTACTTATTTATACTTGTGTATCTTCTTGAATGCTTTCATCTTGGGGTTCTACATTCCAAATAAAATTCATGTTTTATTCACTTAGAGAAAAATCTCTTGGGGGGTCATGTAGGTTATGGTTTCTTTGGGTTTACTGAGAGAATGAAGTTCTGGATTTAGAATCAGAAGACCTAAACATGAACTCTAATTCCACCACTTAATAAAGTATGTGATCTTAGGAAAGTACTACATATTTCTGAGTTCATTTATGCATTTTTTTTTCTATAATAGTTTTTTGTATTTTTGGTAAAACTTGCACAGCAAATTAGGTTTCTTTTTTAGTAAGTGACACTGGTTACATTTTCCACAATGTGCCGACATTCTCATTATTTCCATTCTGCTTCTTCTAGTTCCATTAATTGAATTTTTCTGACCTTCTTTACTTTCTCATCTTTATTTTAGGGTAATGCTGACCATTAGATTTTACATAAATGATTATTTTTAAAGGACCACTGTACCCACAGTTGATACTTTCTAGGTCATGAGCCAATGCGTTATTTAGCTGAATGGTCTATAGTGGTAGCTGGGCACCATCTAGTTCTTCTGGTCTCAGGGTAGATGAGTCAGTGGCTTGCGTAGAGCATTAGACTTGTAGACTTCATTTATGGATTTTTAAACTGAAGAAAACAATCATATCTTCCTCCACAAGCTTCAAATAAAATAATGAGTGTGAAATAATATATGACCTATAATACGTTGTATATAATTATTAATCATCATTTTCATTCAGTATTAATATGGTTCATTGGAACAGGGCTAATGAGAATTTTTGTGATACTGAAGCAGAGGCTAAAGGCAACATTCCTAACTGACATCACATGGCCTCATTGTGAAAATACACATGTTTTGGTACGACAAAACATTTGGCCATTCTCCTCTTGTTTTGGTTAACTTTATTTATTTATTTTTCTTTCTTTCTTTCTAGAAGTTCTTTTTCTCTTTTTTTTTCTAGAAGTTCTTCTCTCAGTTCAGAGTGTGTCAATAATGAATATAATTTTATTTCCTTGGCTCTCTTCTTGGCTCAGTGGTTCAGAGGTAGAATGCTTGTCTTCCCTGCAGACCTGGATCCAATTCTTGGCCAATGTACCTCAAGTTCGGTCATCACTAGTCTGTCAGTGGAGACTTGTTTTTTGCCATGATCATAACTGAACAGGCTTCTGTGGAGCTTCCAGGCTAAAATGGATTAGGAAGGAAGGCCTGGAGATTTATTCTGAAAACCCTAATGCAGTTTTATTCCATTGTGCTTGGGGTTACCATGAGTCTGGAACAGACTTGACAGTGGCTGACAACAGCTCCTTGTTGGCTCATTGGGACCATTTTGTATCTTATTCTCTTCTATAGTAGTTTCTTCTGTCCATGGTTAGGATAATCTAATTTAAACTAAAGCATCTTACCCTGATTTAGGATTCTCTGCTGTATAAAATAGATTATTTCTTCTTACCTTGCCATCAAATAAAATGTTTTTGATTCCATTTTCTCTGGGCCTAAAATCTATATATCAGTTCTAAAATCAGCAATGTATTTCAGATCTGAAAGTGTGTGACAGACAATTCTGACTTCAAGTATTCACTCTTTCATGTTGCTTTTATTATTTTCTTTGCATCTTTCTCTTCTCTTGCTTTGCTTCCTGTGTAGTCTGCAATAAACCATGATTTGTTTTTTGGAAGTTCATTATGTAATATCCTAAGATAAGTTTCCTGTATCTTTTCTCTTTAGTATCTTTCTTTCTGGATCTCTCTAGGTATGGACACAAGTATGTGAGTTGAGCCTAGGCTGGCAGAGTGTCGTGTTGCCTTCCTCCTTCTCTGCCCCTTTAGTCTCCTGGCTCTTTGCTAGAGACAATCTTACCCCTTGTTTGAAATTCAACCCACTTGCCAGAAATGATCCTAGATTAGGCCGTAGCAGAGTTTATATGTATGCCTGTGTTGTCTCTAAAATTTGATGTACTCTGTAATGGGACTCTTATGAAATGAAATTCAATCTTGTTTAGTACCGTTTCCATGTGGCTCTTCAGTCCCTCACATGCAGCAGAGTCTGGAGGGAGCCACTAGATATTGAGAAGTACTCAAACATGACCTGGAGAAGTTCAAACCATTTTAATCATGTGCTAATCTAATCTGAAGCTCACAATATTTCAGATTACAATTACAAAGATTGTGGGTTTGAAAAAATGTCACCCCTCATAAAAATATCTCATAAATCCAAATGCAACTCCTCCTTGACACCTCACATTATATTAAAAAAAATACATGTGTCAGAAAAGTAGGTATACAGGGGCACCTGAATGCCAGTATTCTAGTTATTTGCAAAAGGCTTATCTATATCACTCCAGAATGTAAAATATATAGGCACAGATTATAGTGCTTGTGAATATGGTACAGATGTACTGGAGGAGGAACAAACAATGTGCTTTAGAAATTGATATATAATTTAAATACTTTCATGGCATACAGTATGAAGAAAGCAACCAGAGAGAGCCCTTAGAGACAGTACAATTGCATTCTGAGATGCTTCCATATTGCAGAACACAGATTGTTAATACTTTCTCTGCACAAAGTCCCAGTACAGTCAAAGCACCATTTCTAGTTAAATGCCCTGTTTCTTCTGGGTAAATCCTTTCTCCCCTTCCAGCTGAAACTCTGAAAGACTTTTGGGTTATACTCTTTTCTTATAAACTGGCTTACATTAGAAAGAAAATAAATAACTAGATGATCTTTACCAGTACTTATACTTTGGCTCTGAAAAAATAGTCCTTGGGTTTGTTTACTTTCCCAAAATAGAACTGAAGCAAAGTACAACACTGATATAGCAGTTCTTTAATACTCAGCAATGTACCCAAGGGGGCAGTACTCACCAAGATGAGCTCAAGTGAATGTGCTGAGCCAGGGATTAAGCTACTATTTAGTACTCACTAAATTTATTATTCCTTCAGGCGATGTTCAGATTCCAGCACCTCCCACCAATGTACATGCTTCAGAAATCAGCAAAACATATGTTGTCCTCAGCTGGGATCCACCTGCTCCCCGTGGCAAGGAGCCCTTAATGTATTTCATTGAGAAGGTACTGTGTAGTCATATTTCCTGAAAAAGTAAATCTCTATATGATCTCACCTTATCTGATTTAATGTGTCTTAAAGAGGAGAAGCTATCAATTACAGGCACTTCATCATTATTATTTAATAGAAAGCTTAAGGTGGTAGACTGGCCTGGTGAAAAAGGATTCTAGAGTGGGAAGAGGCGTTAGGAAAACTGTGTCCTTTGACACCATTCACGTGCCACTATAAAATGAAGACATTTAATCTGATGGATCAACAAGTTTTCTTCCTGCTAAAACATTGCAAGTTCTGAGGTTTCCATGAGAAGTTGGGAGGAGGAAGATAGTTTGCCATTGCTTGCAGTGTTTGTTCATGAGCTGTGTAGCCACTTGGTGGCAATCTTGTAGAGGAAATTCATATTTCAGGTGGGGATGGGTTTGTCTTAGAATTACTAGGTCATTGAGTTGAAGGCTCTTTTGATCTAGTAACATATAAAGAAATACATTGTACACTAAAGTACGTTGTACTATACACACACACACACACACACACACACACATGCAGTTAACCAAAGAAAATAATAATAATAATAATAATAAAACAACTACATCCTCACCATGTTATTTTCTCTTGTTCTAATATGGTCTGTCAGATTTTATTAAAAGTGCTACCTGGGACCCAGTAATTTGATTTCATGACCCCTTATTGGATTTCCAGCCATGATTTGAGAAACCTTTCAAGTCATACCAACCCTGTAACTATGGTTTTATGACATCAAATAAAAATAAAATATGTAATACTATTTTTTTTTGTTCTCTAGTGCAGCTATAGGGAGCTCTGGTGGCGTAGTGCCTAAGGCATTTGACCACTAATCAGAAGGAAGACTGGGCCATCTACTTCCATAGAGATAGAGAAATACCACAAGTGGATGGCTTTAACAAAAAAAAGGGATTTATTCTCTTCCAGTTTAGGAGGTTAGATGTCCAAATTCAAAGTGCTGGCTTTAGGGTCTGGGTGAAGGCCCCTCGACCTTGGGGCTCGGCTCTGCCTCTTGCTCTCAGCCCACTAGAGCTGGAGGCAGTTCTTAACTCAGGCGGCTGCTGGCTACTGAGGCTGACAAACCCAAGTAAAATGGCACAGCTCCAAGATTAGTAAGCAACAGAGCAGGCCACTAGTTCAAGTCTCGAAACAGTCCCATGATTGTCAGGCAACATGGCAGGCCACTGATGACTCAACCAAATGCCGAATCCAGATGTGCCAAGAAGCCCAGACCTTTCTCAAAGCATCTCCTTAAATACTGGAAATAGGCCACTTCCCAAAGGCAACAAATTAGCTGCTTATAGCAGATTCTGCCATGGGGTTGGTTACAGCACGTTCAATCTCATCATGGGGAATAACTGCATCCAGCTGCCCAGCCACTCAAAACCACCGTCCAGCCAAGTTGACACATGACACACAACATTAACTACAAAAAACATATATATATGTGTGTGTGTGTGTGTGTGTGT